TGTTTATTTACTGTTTATTAACATCTGTCTGACTGTTTAATTACATCTGACTGTTTATATACTTCTGACTGTTTATTTACTGTTTATTAACATCTGTCTGACTGTTTAATTACATCTGACTGTTTATTTACTTCTGACTGTTCATTTACTTCTGACTGTTTATTTACATCTGACTGTTTATTTACTTCTGACTGTTTAATTGCATCTGACTGTTTATATACTTCTGACTGTTTATTTACATCTGACTGTTTATTTACTTCTGACTGTTGTTTAATGACAAAGTATTAATCAGTGACTTTATGATTTCACCATGTAAACAACATGAAAGAATCTGATCAGACCAGAAACACTATAAATAAGATATTAAGACGATGTTCAGCAGAACATTATCATAAAGCTGTGGTTATAAACTAATGTACACTTTCTTATATATTTGTGTGCATGATATATTTAATACTTCTTACATTGATTATAGTTTGGTGTTGATACAGTTCAGTGAGTGGGACGACACAGTCGGAGCTCAACACCTTGATAGACAGTGGTGAAAACCTCTTCATCACTCTGAGCGCTCATTCATCTGTTTTCTTTTCACTCTTCAGATCACAGCTGTCTGTGGAACCACAAGTCAGAGAGCTACAAGAACCGGCAGCTGCGATGGAAAACTCTGGAACACCTGAGGATCCTTCTGTCCGCTCAGCCTCCGCCTGTTCCCTTCACAGGTAAGACCGCGACACATCCTGAGACGTTCACGCCTGCATTCAGGAGAAAACCTAATGTTAAGCTTCTTTCCAGTGGAAGACATTAAGAATAAGTTCAAGAACCTTCGTACCACCTTTCAGCGTCAGTACAAAATGGTGAAGGCGAGCAAGGTGTGTGGGGCGGACGACGTGTTCGTGCCGCAGTGGAAGCACTACCAGCAGCTGATGTTCCTGCAGGGCTGCTGGGACCAGGACGACGGCGTCGACGACCAGCCGCCGTCGCCGCTGATTCTCCCACAGGAAGCGACCCAGACGGTCGATTCATCCCCGGGATTAATCATCTCCTTCCTCCCCAACCTGCCCACCTTCCCCTCCACCTCGTCCTCCTGCGTCCCCTCCAAAATGATGGTTAAATGTTTCTGGACCGAAGAGCGGGAGCGAGCATTGATCATCTTCTACTCCGGTAAAAACACAGACTGAAGCTTCAGGATGATTCTCAGAGGGATTCATGTATAAAAGACAGAGTGAGCGCTGACAGGAGTTGTTGTTGTGTGTTGTTGTGTGTTGTTGTGTGTTGTTGTAGAACACAGCTGTCTGTGGAACAAGAAATCCGAAAACCACAACAACCGTCAGCTCAGGCTGAGGCTGCTGGAGGTTCTGAGAGCTCAGCTGTCCGACCAGTCAGTGTCTTTCTCAGGTAAAAATCCAAATGTTCTTCTTCTTTAACATCTTCAACATCCTAAACCGTCACCACTGTCAGTATAAGACCTATACTGAAACCAGCCACCAGGGGGCAATCAAGATGTTTTGGCTTCACTTTGGGAGCTTTCCTGTTGTCCATGTTCCAGTGCTGAGCAGTTAGCATACGAAGGGTTTAAAGAGCTGCTAAAACCAAAACAATGAGCTAAAAGTCTCCAAAAAGCTACGTAGAGCTGGAATGTTGCAGAGTCACTTTAACATTATACCTGTAACAAGTTTAGAGCTTTAATTGACTCATCCAACTCCTTTGTTGTTGTTTTGCAGTTGAAGACATAAAGTGCAAGTTCAAGAACCTTCGGACGGTTTTTAACCGTGAATTCAAGGCGGTCCTCTCCAGCCAGGCGTCCGACAAACTCTATGTGTCCAAGTGGAAGCACTACCAGCAGCTGCTCTTCCTCTGCCAGTCCTGGGACGATGACGACGGCACGGACGACCTGCAGGCTCCGATGCCGCGGGACGACAAGGACGTGGAGCAGGGGAACCAAACACCCTCCTCCACGCTGAGCAGCTTCTCCTCCAGCTCCACCAACAGCATCAAGGTCAATAACGCCTCTGTCCAGAGCAGCGCCAGGACCGGCGCCGGATACCAAACCCTCCTCTCTGCGTCTCCAGACAATCTCAAACTATCAAACCAAACGGCCGCACTCCCGACCTCCCGATCTTCATCACCAACTGACACGAAACCCTGCGCAAGCTCCTCCCCTCTGAGTTTCTGTGTGTCCGTGCCTTTCGAGACGGACGGCAGAGCGAGCGCAGAGTCCCGCTGCCACTGGAGCGAGGCCAAAGTTCAGCAGCTCATTTCATTTTACTCCGGTAGGTGGCGTCGCTGCTGAGCTTTGAGAGAATGAATCTGTTAAATGTATGATGTGAGGTAAGATGATGTGCGAGCTGAAGTCGTTTCTCTTCTTCCAGAGCGCAGTTGTCTGTGGAACCACAAGTCCGAGAGTTACAGGAACCGTCTGCTGAGGCAGAGCCTGTTGGAGACGCTGAGCGGCCTCCTGTCGGACAACGAGTCCGTCCCCTTCACAGGTAACGACGATGGAGCTGATGGAGACATTTCAGATCAAACTGAGATCTGAGCAGATTCATTCTTTACGTGTCCGTGTCAGCGGAGACTAACGGTTCTGTTGTTCTTCGTTCTTCAGTGGACGACATAAAGACAAAGTTCAGGAACCTGCGAACCATCTTCCAGCGGGAACACAAAGCGGTGAGTTCCAACAAGACGTGTGGTTCTGAGGACTTTTACCTTCCCAAGTGGAAACATTACCGGGATCTGATGTTCCTCTGTGACTCCTGCGACGAGGACGAGCGACCCGAAGACCTCCACTTCCACCAACCGCAGGAGTCCATCCCCCTCCACCTGGACAGCAAGGCCACGCCCCCCACCCTACACTACCACACTGACAGTCAAACCGATGTCAAGCTGAACGTCACGCCGCGAGGCTTCGAAGCCCCGCCCTCACCGACTCCCCCAGACTCCCGGCTATCCTCTCCCTCTTCCTCCCCGCCCCCCTCGACATCCTCCTCTCACACCGGCAGCCGAGTGTCGGGGCGCAAACGAGCGCCGCCCTCCACCGGAGACATGCTGGATTTCATGAGGACGTTCTGTCACAGTCAAACGGTGTCGCCGCACGCCGGCTTCCTGAAGTACGTGGAGGAGTGTCTGAACGAGACGCCGCCGGACAAAGTGAAGAAACTGAAGAAGAAGATAATCGAGACGATCCACAGCGCGTCAGAGGAAGTTTAGGTTGTTTGTTTCTGAGTCTTATTCTCGTAGCTTTACCCATAATTCCTAGCAGCTGAGTGTCAACAGTGCAGCTGATCTCACCTCATTCAAACACCAGCATGAGCTCAGAGGGACAGAAGTGCAGCTTTATTTAAACCAGGTGGACGTGTCTGTCTTAAAGCAGCAAAGACACGTGGGAGACAAAATCCTACAACTTGAAGAATTGCTGAAATTCAGAACGAGTCTGATAAAGATTTCGGACACTGGGGAGGAAAGAATCAGATACTGAAAGAAATAAAGATAAAGATATAAATCACAGAGAATCTGTGATCAAACCCTTCTGACAAAGAAACGTACCTGAGGATCGACGTGTTACAGTTTTACCACAATGGTTATTTTAAACAACTACAAAACGAAAACACAAATACAACCAAATATACAGAACGAGCCGACTGATATATAGGTTGGCCTCTATAGATTATATTTGTACAAAGTATTTGATGTTTAACGTACATCTGTATATTTATATGGAAAAAATCTACGATGTTACCGAAATAGATTTTTTGAAATGTTGAGTTTGAAGCAAGATCGTGTAGAAATATATTCAGACTTAATGTATATTATGATATTAACGAGAAAGTCTACGATAAAGTACTGTAACTTAAGATATTGTATTATCAGTCAGAAGATGTTACATTAATGTTTTCTTTACAATTAAGTTGTTGAGTTTTCATTCTGGAGTCGATCTTATCAGCTGCTGCAGAGCTGTGAAATA